TGACATGAATTGAGTAGTTTTTGATAAACTTGAAGAATCTGTGGTTCTGCATACTACACAGCTTTTGCATTTGTGAAAACCTTTACTTTGTGGGAAAAAGGAAATGTAATTCATAGTGGGTACTTTTGTGAAATTAGAAGTTAAAATGGATTTAAAATTAGGTGCCCCTATAAAAACAATGTTTGGGTGATCAGATATAATAGAACTAAGTACATCATCATGTTTTAAAATATGCCAATGTTTATTTATGATCTTTTTGATGGTTTTACTTTTATTATTGAAGTTACAAATAATAGGGAGAGACATAGGTTCAGCATCTTCTCTATTTTTATAGGTTAAAAGGTCTTTGCGGTCTTTTAACTTTATTGTATTGAGTGTATTGTTTAAATCTGACTCTAGATAGTTTTTTTCGATAAAGTTATTTTTTAATATCTCTACTTGTTCATTAAAGTCAGTCAATTCTGAGCAATTCCTACGAAGACGTAGGAATTGACTCTTAGGTGCGCTTTCGAGCCATGGCTTGTAATGGCAACTAGATTTATCTATAACTGTATTAACACAAACTTTTTAAAAAAAAGGTTTTTGTTTGAAGTTGTCCTTCCTTTATAAAAATGTTGAGATCTAAAAAGTTAATGGATTCCCTACTAAATTCGTGAGTTAAAATGATACCACTGGTATTATTATTCAAATTATCAATAAAAGCAATAAGATTTTGTTCGGTGCCCTCCCAAATAAAAAAGAGGTCATCTATATATCTAAAATATGTGACTAGGTTTGCCTGCCATACATGGTCACCCCAAAATGCTTTGGTTTCCCAATCGGCCATAAACAAATTTGCATAACTAGGGGCAAACCTAGTCCCCATAGCAGTACCCCTCTTTTGTAAATAAAATGAATCTAAAAACCAGAAATAATTATTTTTAAGAATTATATTAATACCTTCTATAATAAAATCAATTTGGATAGCAGGAATTTTTGCTTCAAGGGTTAAAATCTTTTTTATAGCTTGACATCCTATATCATGGGGAATAATGGTGTAAAGAGATTGTACGACACAAGTAACTAATATGAAGTTGGACTTCCAAGTAAAATTTTGTAAAAAGTTTAAAAGTGACATAGAATCTTAGAGGTAGGATTTCATGAGTCTTACAGAGGGCTGGAGAAGGGTATCAATATACTGTGAGAGGTTACATAAGAGAGATCCTATCCCAGAAACAATTGGTCTACCTGGAGGTTGTTGTTCGTTTTTATGGATTTTAGGAAGAAAAGAAATTACTGGGATAATAGGAAATTCTTTATTTAAAAACTTGAACTCATGTTTATTTAAAATATTTAAGTTAAAACCTTTAGTTAAAAATCTGGATAAAATGACCTGTATATTTTTTGTTGGATCTGAGAGAAGTTTTTCATATACTTTTGTGTCATTTAGTTGCCTTAGAGCCTCCTCTATATACATCTTACTCGATTGGATGACTACTCCTCCACCTTTATCGGCTGGTTTTATCACAATATCTTTATCCATCTGAAGTTCTTTAATCGCCCGTCTTTCTTTCATTGTGATGTTATTAGAGTCATATTTGCTATATTTGATTTTATCTAAATCTTTCTGGACGAGTTTTTCAAATAGAGTAAGGGGAGCTGATTTACAATAAGAGGGATAAAATTTTGATTTTTCTTTGAGGTGTGTGTTTATAAAAGAACCTTGACCTCTTACGGGTGATGGAGTAGGAACTTGTATTTCATCATTTTTACCAATAAAAAATCTTTTTAGTGTTGCCTTTCGGACAAATTTATTCACATCTAAAAAAGCCTGAAATGGGTTAAAAGAGGATGTAGGGGCAAATTCTAAACCTTTATTGAGCACTGACAATTGGGCAGCTGATAGAATTTTTTGAGAGAGGTTAAAAATGCCACTACTGGCATTGTTTGGAGGTATTATGGTCTTTCTAGTCTCTCTCTTTTTTTCCCGTCTGCCACTTCGTCTTCCTCTAGGCTTAAAATCCTTTTTTGGGAACGTGATGGGTGCGGTGTCTGTGCTAGTGAGGGTTGGTGGGTACGGATTTCTAAAAAATGATCTTCATTATCAAAATTGGAATCAACTGACAGTAATTGATACCTGTTAAGGTGACTGGGGATAGTGGGGGATTTTGAGTAGTTAGAATATTCGTTATGGTCATTGGTATAACGTGATCTTTGGGGTTTTGGTGAAAAGTTAAAACCAGAGGGGTTGTGATATTTTGGAGATTGGGGTATGGACTTGTAATTATAGTGAGAAGGTTTTCTTTGTTTTTGTTGATACGTGTTAGTGTTGCGAATGTGTGTGTGTCTGTTAGTGAGTTTGTATGTGTTTGTCAGTGAGTATATGTGTCAGTGTGTATGTGTCTGACACTGAGTGAGTGTGCGTCTGTCAGTGAGTGTGTATGTGTATCTGTCAATGAATGCGTGTCTGTCAGTTAGTGTGTATGTTGGTGTATGTGTGTCTGTCAGTGAGTGTGCATGTGTATCTGCCAGTCAATGCATGTGTCAGTTAGTGTTTCTGTCGGTGAAGGTGAGTGTGTATGTTTCAGTGAAAGTGTGTGTTGGTTAAACAGTGTGTGTGACAATGACTGTATCGGTCATGACTGTGTATCTGTGAGTGTATGTCAGTGTATGCATCAGTGAAGGTGTGTGTCGGTCAGGCAAAGAGTGTGTTGGTTTTTAACAGGAAGTGAAATTTAGAAGGGGGGGGTCTGATTTTTGTCATGGCAGCACAAAACCAGAATACACCACTGGGAGCGATGTCAGCAGAGGAGGAATGGGCTGAGGAGAGAGAACTGGGCATCGGCACAACAGATGCAAGTTTTAGTCTTTTGTTTGGGATTTATTTTATTTTTTGGGAGGATGGGGGCAGGGGGTAAGGGGTGCAGAATAGAATGGCTTCTTTGGACTAAAAACACGACACACTGTTTTTTGGTTGGAGTATACCTTTAATGCCCAAAGAGTCAAATTAATAATTTTTGGTGTGGCAGCTCCAGGCTCATGCTTTGAAGTAGGCCATAACAGCCACAATATAAATGTAATTTTTTCCTTTATCTATTATGAAGGCAGCTGCAACTACACTGGGGCTCCATTGTGTGAAATAGTGTTTACATGTTAATGGAGCCCCACTATTTAGCCTATGCAGAGCACAGAGGCTGCATTTAAAATTATCTGAAATAAGTCAGATATGTGAATATCTGAAATCAAAAGCAAACTCTTTTTTAAAATTTTTTATTTTATTTCTTCAAGCACATTTTCCGACCATATGTAGCACACCATCTAATTTTGGAGCCTTTAGCTAGCCAGCAGGAGTGAGCTTGTTTAAAACTTGCTGACAAGGGATTGAAAGCAGGCTTTTCTGAATCTGACTGCCCTATTCAGCAGTTGTGCTGCTCCCAGAGGATGCAAAGAATGGGCTAATAATGTGCAGTTTTGGAAAGCAGCCAAACAGTGATTTATATGAAGGGGCGAGAGCTATAGATACTTGGTTTTAGCTCCCTGGTAGTATAGAGGTTGGAGGAGGGGAATATTTTAAAATAGAAAGGTTCAAGGATAAAATGAATCGTTCTGGGTGAGTTAAAAAGTAAGACTGGTTAAAAAGGCATTGGTCTATAATAACAACAACATGTGCTCAGATACAGAATATATATCATAAATGAAAACATAAAATCATACAATATATATTGTCCGCTCTGTGAAAGACATAACAGATACATCACACAGAACTGCAGGACGTGTTGCTGCTAAACAAAGTGTATCTAAAAATGCAAACATCTGAGTAGATTCCAGAAATAGAAACTGAATTTACCAATTATATACATTTTTTTTAACCAAACTTTTGTTTATTGGTTTTAAAGCATATTATGGGATACAGAATAAAGAAAAGGAGGGGGGTGGGGGAACTAGACATAATGTGATACAGTAGCAATATCAATAGCCATGAACATTCCAAGTTTCACCATGGTATCTCACAATATATATATATATATATATATATATATATATCAACGTTAGACATTTTTTCCTGGATTCTCGTCACACCTCATGTGAACTCTTACAATTTTTCTTCAGGCCCCTATGGGGTGAGCTAGCTCTTTTGCTAATGAATTGCTTAGAGTGGTAAAATGTCACAAAATAGATAAACTATACAGTGTGGGTTTCTCTCCGCCTTCCCCTTGGGTACGTTTGTCTGAAAGTATATCACCTGATTGACAACCGTCAATCAAGCCCTAAATGTCTCCATTGTCCTTGATGGTAAATTGCTATGCGTTTTTTGTTTTTTTTTGCGTGCTGCCGTGCACCGATCTCCCGTTAGCTTTTATACGGGATGCTCCCTCACCTTGTCACCCAACCCGTGTCTAAGATGTGCTTCTTACCAATTCCTGGTTCTACCATGTGTTTCACTGGGTTGAAGTGTGTGTTGATCTTGGTTTCATAGTCTAGGTTCATTGAGATTTGTTGTATCAAACCTCGCTCTCTCTGGTACCTGAACATGTTTCTATTGCCTAGCAATCAGTAGGTTTGCATCTATCAGTATATAAACAGTAGGCAAGCTTGGGGCTTCGTGTAGGAATTGAGTGTCATAAACAGTAATCCACATTCAGTTAGCAATTTGGTCGCGATGTGCAAGGCCTCCATGATAATTCTCTCTACCTCCCTCCAGTATGCCCTGAGATTTGGGCAAGCCCACCATATGTGGTACATCGTGCCCTTGTCTGCCCCACACCTCCAGCATGGCTTTGAAGTATTAGGGTATATCCTTGCCAATCTAGTTGGTACCAGGTACCACCTATATTGAATTTTACGCATAAGCTCCAGATGTGATGCACATCTGGATCTACCTTTGTGAGCTGTGAATGCTTGTAGCCATTGGTCTTTGGTAAAGAGTTTGCCTATGTCAGTTTGCCATGCCTCTATGAATTTGGCTGTCGGGGTGAGTATTGGATTTCATTACGCATACATAAACGAGAGTGTTTTTTTCGGGTATAACCATGGTCTCACATAGTCTTTCCATGCGTTCCGTCGGTTCTGGGAGTTCGGTCGAATGCACCAAGATTGCTTTCAGCTGTAAATAGGAGAACAATGCATGATTTGGTAGACCGTATTTCCTCTGTAGGTCTGGGAACTGCAATAGGGCACCGTGGTGGTAAAGATGTCTGACCAGTGTACACCCTCCCCTTATCCATGGTTGGTAGTCTGTGTGGGGTTGGCTATGTGGAGGCTATAGCTGGGTGTTGCCAATGTCCAGGTTTTCTTATATACTATTTGTGGTTTTGCTGTATCACATGTTTAAAGAGTAACTCTGTAGCGTTAGGCATGTATGGTAGTCTACGGCGTAACATATGCGGAACCCAGAAAAGATATTTGAGGCCCTTAGGGCACGCCCACACTGACTCCATCTCCACCCATTGTGGTACATTATTTGCTGTATGTGAGTGTAGGGCAGTGGCTAGGAGGGCTGCTCTATAATACGACCGCACATCCTGCAGCCCCAGTCCTCCGTTTTCTAGGGACCTACTCAGTATTTGTGTTGCTACCCTGATCTTGCGGTTGGCCCAGACAAATTTAGTGAAGGTTTGTTGAAGCTTTCGCAAATATGTGTTGGGTATAGTGTTCTACTTTGAGAGTGGAATTTTGGTAGCAACACCATCTTCACTGCCACAGGTACTTGTCACCCGATCTCCTCAGAGTATCTTCAATCTCACTCAATTTCCCATAGTTAAGGTCTCGGAGACCCATCGGATCCTTAGGTATTCGCAGTCCCAGGAAGGTGAGAACCCTCTCTCCAGTCCAACAGGAAAGCGGCTTTCAACTGGTCAATAATGTGGCTGGGTGCTCCCACCCTCAATGCCTGTGTTTTAGTGGCATTTAATTTGTAATAGGACTGTTCCCCATATAATTGTATTTCCTGTAGAAGGTTTGGCAGAGACCTGTGGCTGTGTGAGTATTAGCAGTACATTGTCTGCGAACAGGTTGGCCTTATACTCTCTTTCTCCCACTTGAATGCCATGAATCAAGGTGTTTTCATGGATTTTGATTGTAAATAGTTCACCTCCCCCCTTCTCCATCTTGAGATACTGAGCTGCTAACACCTGCATCTGCTCCTTTCAGAGTCCAGGACAAGCCCCCCCATTTATATTAATTTTAATGTTTGTTACAGGGTTTTGTTTTTGAAAGGGACACTATGTCTGATACATTAGACGTACGTTAGATGTGTTACACAAGTGCTCTAGAATACAGATTTGCGTGACACCTCAGTATACATAAAAAACAATTCTTCACATGTAATATAAAAAAATAAACACCAAATGGCAAGAATTCAAGCATCACAAGGGGTATTCATTGTACCGGTTATGGCAAAGCCTCAAATAGTAAACAACTTACAGTGAGTAGTTTTATGGGAGGCAATGAATATGATGTGCTCTTGTCAACCACTGGGCTCCCAAATTTCATGCTTATCGCAGGAATTAAAACATTTTTTACAAAAAATATATATATAATTTAGGGTTTAGTGTAACCCTATGCACTGTAACCACAAATTACCTGTTCATACATTTTCAAATACCCTGTCCCTCAACATCACTATAGCTGCATTGATTTGCAAATACAGTACACTAAATTCTTTACAGGTTTATATTTGATTAGTTGAATACTTTCATTCATCACTTTTCATGAATAAATGTATTCATGATTGTTGAGCAACACACAACCTTTGCTCAGTGTATGGAATGTGACGGTACTCCCACTGAAAATAACAGGAGGTCCATGGTCCATTGGCAGAGCAACTTGCTGGTCCCTGCAGAAGCTACAGGGTTGCAGCGGTAGATGAGAGGCAGGGGCGTACCTAGAGCATGTGGCAGTCGGAGTCCCTGAAGGTTCAGATCTTGGTCCCCTTTTGTTCTCTCTCGGTAAACTCATTAATTCATTTGGATTCCACTACCACCTGTATGCCGACGACACCCAGATATATCCCTTTCCCCCTGACCTCTCCCATGCTGTCCTACGAGTCACCAATTGCCTTTCATCTATCTCTGACTGGATGTCCTCCCGCTTTCTGAAACTCAATCTCTCTAAAACGGAGCTCATTGTCTTTCCTCCTCCTAATACTGATCATCCTCTTTCGCTCTCCCTGCAGGTTGATGGTACCTGCCTCACCCCATCTTTGCAAGCTCGTTGTCTTGGTGTCATTTTTGATCCTGGCCTCACCTTTGTGCCTCATGTCCAGTTTGTTGCTAAAACCAGTCGATTCCACCTTAAAAACTTTGCTCGCATATGCCTCGTTCTTATGCAAGATGCTGCCAAGGAGCTTTATCATGCTCTAGTAATCTATTGCATCGATTACTGTAATTCTCTCCTAATTGGTCTTCCCAGAAGCCGTACTGCCCACCTACAATCTGTGATGAATGCTGCTGCCTGGCTAATCTTTCTCTCCTGTCACTCCTCTCACACCTCACCCCTCTGTCGATCCTTGCACTGGCTTCCTGTACCCTACAGGTGTCAATTTAAAATACTGATTCATAGGCATGCCCCCTCTAGGTCTCTCTGCTCTACTGGTGACCTTCTCCTGTCTGCTCGCACCCTTACTGCATATGCACGCCTCCCTTTCCTTTGGAACAGCCTGCCTCTCCCCTAGTCTTCCACCCTTTAAGAAGTCTCTCAAAACCCATCTTTTTAGAAATACCTATGGCCTCCAAGGAGGTGAGAGTGGAGTGTGGCACTTTAGGAAAGAGGAAGGATTAATCCTTCCTCTTTCCTAAAGTGCCACACTCCACTCTCACCTCCAGTTCTGCTTCTTTCCCATCATGTCTGTCTATTTGCCGTCTCCCTCAATACCCTTCCTATTGTGTTTTTATACCCCACCTCCTCTAGACTGCAAGCTCGTTTGAGCAGGGTCCTCAATTACCTATTGTTCCTGTTACATTTTGTTATTGTCTTATTTGGCAAATTCCCCTCTTATTGTAAAGCGTTGTGGAATAAGATGGCACTATATAAATACCAATAATAATAAAATCGATCGGAAAAGGTTACAGATTGCTCAAGGTTTGATTTTCTGTTGGTAATTGGTAAGGCATTTGATGAGCTAGCTGTTTGCTATTGATTGTTGGTTAATTAGGTATTGTTTGCAAATTAGCATAGGCCTACCCTGGTGTTAAACATTCCTAGTGGGTGGTGCTTTTAGGAGTTATATAAAGGTTGTGGTCATTAGTTTGGCTGCTGCTTGTAAGTGCCGGGATATACTCTGGAGGGTCTTTATTGCAGCCTCGATCTTGTCCTTATTTAACAGAAGAGGAGAAATGAACCACTAGTTTGGCAACATGCAATACAAAAAAATAAATTAAAAAAAACAAAAAAAAAACACACAAACATACCAGATTTTGAAGATTTATGGAGACATTTCACTCTTTAATGCTTTACACTTTGAAATGAAGACAAGTAAGAACTTGGCATACACAATGTACTCTGAAAGTAATTATGAAAATTAAAGTACGTTACAAAAAATTCAAGTCTCAAAAGTCCTAAATAATAATGGACTGAATATTTAATGGGGCTGTGCAATAGGGGTATTTGAGCTGCCCATCAAGCTCTAAGGCCAATCAGGTTTTGTCCTACATGTATAAGAGGGGTGTGCTCTTTGTGGTAACCACATGCTGCATTGGGACGTTAACTACCAAGCAGGTGGAGGTGAAAGGATCCAAACACACCGTATTGGACGTTAGTAAACATTACAGCAAAGTATTATTAAAATAGATAAATGGCGATTGCAACCAAAAACCATTCCAAATGTTTTATACGAGGCACCCGTGATAGGATTTAAAGAGTGATAAAAACCAATACTGCCATTTACAGACTGGCACATATATACAATTATCTGTCGACAATAAGGACCTTCTGTAGAATAAGATGTTGGAGGTCTTTAAAAATGAGAAGTCATCTTAACCGCTTAAGGGGACACAACGGAAATTTTCCGTCATGCTGGCTTTTCCTTTTGAAGCTGTATCTTTGAGCGGTTAAGTGCTTAAGTTCTACACTCCATCATAGACCACTGACTTAGATTACTATACCACATACGGCTATAACTCCGCTCATACATAGATCGCTGTAAAATATGTTAAAATGACAGAGTTTGGGCACCCATGGAGTTACAGTTTTTGGAACTTTGGATAAATGGTCCTCCCATTGTAGTATTGAAAACGGATATTAAACAACTAAACCATTTGTTTTTTTCAATAATATAGGCACTAGCAAAAATCTGCATTAAAAAGGCATGATCACAAAAAGTTACATATGGCTAAAAGTTGAGCAACTTTAAAAGTTTTCTTTTATGTAACAGGTCCTACCTTAAAAATAAAAAAAATAAAGACAGACTGTTGGTATTCTAAATTTATTCCAAACTCCCGGTCACAAAGAAATGCTTGTTACAAATTGTTCAGCGTGCCAAGACTGTTCAGAATGCACATAAAATCAGTTTATACTTACGAACAGGAAAAAAAATAAATTAATTGGTTTTACTATTTTTCTTGAAATGCAAAAATATTTGTTATTAAGCACATATGAAACATTAGAGGCTGCTGGTATCGGTTACACAAAAAGCAAATCACACTTAATATATGCTGTTGCAGTGAGCACCAGTTCACTCCTTAACAAGCGGTAAACACTAGAGCATTTTCTCTCCTAACAAGCTCTATACACAAAGAAACACACATTTGGTGCTTCAGTACGGTGGTAAAATGAATGATATAAATGTATGTAGGATTTTAGTATATATATATTTTTTTAACCTTACAAGGGACAGCTTAGGGACATATCATGCCACCATTATTCTTGTTTTCATTAGATTCAGGGTTTAGCTCACTTCACAATTTGTATTGGTATTTTGGAAATCTGAAGTCAAATCAAATTTTAGGGTGTAGTCGCTACTTTTTAATGGAATATCCCAATTCACTTAAAGTTTTTTTGTTTTTTTAAATTATCTTTTTACATGGGGGTGATTGTGTGGGGGAGAAAAAAAAAAAAACGGGAAAAAAAACCCACAAACAGTGCAATTAACCTCTCTCCCAATATGGATGACACAGATTCAGTAATTTGATGTGTACGTATACACGTATATGGCCCTTAAGACTTGGTTCTATCTCAAACCCAGCAGACAAACATAAAACTTTAAGGTTTTTCAGAAATGAATCACAATCCAGGATTCGTTTTCCGCATTAACAAATTAAAGAAAGGGATAAATGGCTTTCCTAAGGTCTAAACCTTGCATAGCAAAATAAAGGATTCTGGAGAAGAATTTCTGGGGTCTGATAGACAGCTAAAAAAGGTTTTGGGAAATCTCTAGACAGTTCAAATGACATCTAATATATGCACAAAACCAATTGGAAGCATTCCGTCCAGAACATGAACCAATATGAAAGATTTGGAATATTACTGTTTGTTAGTAATTCCACTTTGAGGTTTATCCGTAAGAATTCTGCAGTGATCTATTAGATATATATATAATATATATAAAAAAAAAAAAAAAAGGTTTAATTCTAGGTAACTACTGATGTCTGTATAAGGGAATTTACAGAAACAAAAACAATAGCTGCTTCTCCAAATTACACAGAGGAAAATCTATATAGCAGAACAGGAAAATAAACATAGGCTAAAACAAATGAAGAGTTATAGAATGTTTTAGTCCCAACTCCAGTTAGCAGGGCTAAGAATGATGGATGATGTAATATCCCACATATGAAGCCTGCCTAGTTACTTCCTTGATGTAGTTATTTGGCAAAAGTGGTTACCTGAAACAAAACACTTATTCTAAATCGTACACCCCCACCCCACGCCCCCCCAAAATTTATATACATTTTTTTAATTAAAAAAATAAAAATAAAATAAGTTTAAAACAAAATCTAGAATCGGTAAGAAATGTAACAAAATAAATACATAGAACCTACCATGCAAACCCATTAAATGTAGCCTTGTCTGAGTTGGCATAGCAGATGCAATTTATTCAAATGAGACATTTCCTGGGCTAAAATCAAAACATACGGTTTAGTTTCTTCCTAACCAAAAACCAGTATTAGGACAGGACCACTTTAAGGCATCACTGAGGGCCCACAGTATAATGGTTTTGCATAGGGGTGCCCAAAATATAGATCCCCAGATGTTTTAAAAACTACATCTTCCATGACGCTTTGTCATTCTAAAAGCATTTGAAAGGCATGCAAATCATCATGGGAGGTGTAGTTCTAAAAACATCTGGGGATCTACCTTTTGGGCACCCCTGGTTTAAAGGATAGGTAAGTAGTTGCACTGCAGTCTTCAAAATTTAACTTTTTTTTGTTTAAGCATATGCTGCACCAAGACTGAAATATGGCACAGCTGTAGCTTCACTTAATCTTCATAAAATTTAAATTAAATCAGAGCTCTTCTTGAACTACACCTAGTAATCGGCCTGTATTTTAAAGACAAGAATGCAAAAACCATAAGAGTATCAGCTCAATAAAAGCTGGAAGGCTGCTCGTTGGCTGCACTTCCTGCGTTTTTGGTTAATTTCCCAGATGATAAAAAACAGACTTGGACAGTTAAAATCGCCAAAATATGAATTCAAAGTGAATTTCAAATTTTAGGTTAAAAAAGCCAAATAAAAAGCATAACCGACATGGACATATTTTTTCCCCCTCTTCAAATTCAGTTGATGCGGCATAGAATTTTAAATTTCCAGCTATTTGTAGTTTCGTGAATAACCCTTATTAATGTCGTTTCTATGCATTCTATGCCAGAGAATTCAAGCTGCCATCTTGTTTCTCCCAGATGTGTATGTTTCTAACATGCTTGCTCAACTCCTCACAAAAATAAAATAAAAATCACCATCCAACAAATAGATTTGTTACAGTGCAAGAGGGGGTTGGGGTGGGGGGGTTCACTAGAGCAGGAATTGACCAGTTTTAGGTCAAAACACATTGTAGGCGACTTGGAGAATTTTTACAATTCACAATTTTGGCCTAAATTAAAAATCCCCTGGTCAATTTCTAACAACTCACAGTTTTGTGAATAATATTGTTAATGTGCTTTCTATACATTCAGCCAAGAAGCCAGTAACGGCTGCCATTTTGTTTCTTACAGAAGCCTCTGTTAAGAACATGCTAGCTCACCTCCTAACAAAAGCAGCCAACAAATTCAAAGTATGTGGAACAGTGCAAATGGGCTTTGTTCCATAAATCGAGAATTGTGGAATGTTGGTAGCAAACTCTTCACAATTCCCAGTTTAGAGAAAAACCTTAACATTGGAATACAAAATGTGTGATACAACCAGTAAATGTCACGAAGTTCAACTGCTGGTAAAATGGAGGGGGTTTACGACGATTCTGGTAGATTAACAGATTTGCAGCTACAGCTATACAAGGTGTTAATCCTGTATGAAAAGCTATTCTATCCTAGTAAAGTGAATTTTTCAGAAGGTTATTAACTATTTAAAAATATATTTAGGACATGTAAGCCAGAAAGCAGATTAAAATGCCTCAGAGGGTTAAAATGCACCCAGGTTGGTGAAGGGCACATGGGGGGGAATCATTTGTTTAGGAAAATATAAGTGTTTG